ATTTCATGACTCTTTTCATTTTAGTAAATATATAAGCTATAAGTTCACTTAAATTGGCATATTTTAGGATGATGCACGAAATGATAGTGGAGCAGGGCATTGGTCATGTGTATGGATTCTTCGAGCCTCAATGCATACAAAAGTCCGGGAATAAGCGTGATCAAATTCTCGGTTACATCCGAATTGGATGACTCGTTTCTAAAAGAGATATTTACCTTGGAGCATACCATCATTCGTAAGTTATCCCAGCCTCTTCCGGTTTTACACAAGTTTTTTTAATAGATTCTAATCATGTGTATATACAGAAACCACTAGCAGCTATTAGTTATTTGTCCAAAGCAGAATCTTGTGTGTTGGTTTTGCTCATTGGGAAGAAAACCGGACATGAAGCTAAAAAATATTGTAAACGAGTAAGTATTTATTATATTATGTCTAAACATCTTGATTATTCTATTTCTAATCCCCTTATTTTCAATATATAGTCCTTTAAAGGTTTGTAGTACATTAGATGGAAAACACACAAGTAAAAGCACAGCTCCAAATTGGAATTTTATCAAAGTAAGTAGCCTTTATATATATATTATACTATCTATTAATTTATGTTCAAATTTAATAGTTATTTTTAACATATTTACTCATTTTTAGTGTAATAAACAAAATGGAGGCTACGAGTGCGGCTACTATGTAATGTATTGGATGTGGCTCATCATTTTTGGTTGCATTCAAGATAGTTGGGACGAGGTAAGTTGACATTTGCTATTATATTCAATTCCTTTATTTTTATTGCTTAGGGTTTACCATTCTATTATTGTGAACTTCTTACAGGCATTTAAAGATATAGAACCTTTGCCTATGGATACTATAGACATGGTTCGAAACAAATGGGCAGAAAAGTTTGTACAAGTAGTTAGGAATAATAGGATTGATTGATAATTTTTGTGTATTATGTACATAATGTGACTGGACTGAGATTTTTGTGTATTGTGTAAATATATAGTGATTATGTGAAAAGACCTGGCTGAGATTTTTGTACATTGTGTATATATTGTGTAAATCTGGCTGGATTGAGATTTATATAGCAGGTCGTGTATGGTAGCACAAAAACAGACCAAAATTAAAAAAAAAGGGATATTCTACGTCGGTTATTGCATTAACCGACGTTGTAACGTCAGTCGCTTGAGCGAAACGTTGGTCGCTTGAGCGAAACAGCACCCGAGAGAACACTTTGTTTGAAGGCTTCATCGCTCAAGCGAGTACACCGGTCGCTTGAGCGAGAAAGGACTTTCAACGTCGGTTAGTTCAATAACCAACGTAGAATTTACTCATTTCTACGTCGGATTTGTATTAACCGACGTTGTAATGTCGGTCGCTTGAGCGAAACGTGGGTCGCTTGAGCGAAGCAGCACCTGAGAGTCCCCTTTGTTTGAAGGCTTCGTCGCTCAAGCGAGTACACCGGTTGCTTGAGCGAGTTCAACGTCGGTTAGTTCAAGAACCGATGTAGAATTTAGTCACTTTCAACGTCGGGTATGATGAACCGACGTAGAAGCCTTTGACATTCAACGACGCCTGATTCAACGACGTCATTGGAACCGACGTTGAAAGCCTTCTACACCCGACGTTGAATGTTCATTCTGCAGTAGTGAATAAGAATGAATATTTAATTAAAATATCACTCTACTCTCCATCATTTTCATATCTTTGGAGAAGGGTTTTTTTTTTTAAAATAATCACAATTTAGACTTCAGATTTAATAATATTTGATAAGTTGTATAAATTTATGTTTTTTATTAACTTGTATACCTTTAAAACGTATATTTTGTTAGTGTAGTATATCAATTTATTTTAGTGTAATTTAAACTTATATATATAATAGACATTATGTACTAATAAATTCAATTAATTTAGTATTGTGGAAATTATTTATTATCTTATTCAATTATAATGCTTAAATTTTGAATTGTATCATCAAATGGAGTATTATGAGTTTATTTATCGAGCTTAAAGTTTTTACTAATCAATATAACTCTTGATAATCTTAATTTTTATTATTTTATAATTTTAAATTTTTATTTTAATATTATTCTTTATATGTTACAAACCTAACGTTGAAGTGTGAATCAGATTAAGGTTTCCAATTTTCAACGTATTCTATGCAAATTAATCTAAAGAAAAAAATTTATTTCAGCATACTTTCAAAAATCATACACAAATACGTTTATCTTTCTAGAATATTTACTAGAAGATATTTTAATAATTTTACTACTGAAAAAATTAAATTAATTTTAATTTTATAATATATGATCAATTTTTGTTTTAAAATAATAAAAATATTTGTTCGATTTTCACATTCAATAAATTATTTATTTTATTTAAGTTAATACATATATAATCACTAATATTAAATGTTTTTTATTCATATTATTTTGAGATTTTTTATGTTTAACTAAATTTCAACGTCAATTTAAGATAAATAAATTTAAGTAGAGTAACTTATCGACTTTACATCATATTATTATAGGATTAGATGGAAATTTAGATTGATTTCTTGAATGAAAAAAAACAATTCTATATTTTTTAGTTGTGTCAAACAAGTGTAAAATAAATATTAATTTTTGAACTTAGACAATACGAAAGCTAATATTAAGTAAAACAAATAAATCATAATAAAAATAATAATAATAATAATAATAATAATAGGAACAATGGTAATGATATATGATTTATTTGTAAGAATGCTTAAACAGATGAAGTTGAATCAACTTAAACATAATTGAGAAGGGAGATATTAGGACTTATAAACGCATTTTAAATATAGAAGAACCTTTATCGTAATAAATGCTTAAATACTCAAATCAAATTGAAAATAAACATTTAGAATATGATGGTGTCACTATTGCTCTGTGAGAAAAAAAAATGTTTAGAAAGTTTATAATGATGTCGCTAATGAAAAATCCTCGTATAAAGAAAACAAAACCCTAAAAAATATAAAACAAATTTTGTAATAAAACTGAAATGAAAATTACATTTTTGTACCAGCTAATATAATTTGAAATGTTAAAGATGATGTAGAGTACATCAGCGTATGGTTGGAAATATAGAAAGACCTCTTAATTGCTTATACAACATAATTTTAAAAATTTTCTCATTTAACATATATGTCAAAAATACTCAAAATGAGCATTTTCAAAACAATTAATACATAATCCAAAATAATATTATATAGTATTATTTTGATTAGATAATGATTTTTTTTTAAACCACATAGAAGAATTGTTTGAAAATGGAGGAGCTCATGCACCGACACTGGCTTTATTACCAACCTCTGAAGGAACAGGTTCATGTGTTACATTAAATTCTGGTCTTTGCAACTAAAATATAAAACGTGATGCGAGTTTGATACTTTGATTCCATGTTGTTAACTGCTGTAGACCCACATCTATGTACGACACCACCTGATCAGCTGCTGCTCCTCAGAATTATTCATAAATCCTCTCTTCCTCCAATTTAAATTACAATAACAATATAAACCATCACCCCAAAATTAATATAATTAAGTGTTTCAATAAATTAAAAAAATAGGTATATATAAATTATTTTTGGTATAGTAATATAAAACTCGTGAAGGTAAGATTTTAATCAAATATTAAAGAATATGTATAAATCAAATCAGATTCTATTTTCAGTCTTACTATAAACGTTAATATTCTAGGTTCTAGGTAAGAGTAAGTATGTTTCAGTTTTACGTTATAATATGTTAGGTCAATTTCTATTTTCGAATAATTATTAAATATTTTATGTTATTTTTTACAAAATATTCTTTAAATATATATAAAAGAAAATGTGTAAAAAAAGTAGTTACATAATTATATCTTATTATTATTCCATCATTTTCACTTATTTTCTTATATATTAGCATCTATATGTAATAAGCTATTTTATTTTATACATTGTAATAACTATTTTAAGTCAATGTGTTATTTGACGCTATTACTTGAAAACAAAAGTAATATCTTTTTTACACAATATTTTAACCTAATATTTTCAATGAATAAATTTATTTAACTTAAATTATTTTTATACGTTAAATTGTTTCAAGTGTTATTTATAAATTTTAAATATAATGAAAAAAAATTGTTTTAAGTTTCATTGTAAAGCAATTGAATATATTAGCATTCCATACTTAAAAATTACAATAAATTTAAATTTAAGTAGAATAATAAATATACCATTGTACGTTTAATTATTTCAGCATCTAATACTCATAAAAAAAGTAATTTAAAACTCTATATTATTATAACATTGAAATTTAAAATTTTGTTATGCTCGGTATTTAAATGATACGTAAAATTGATTTTCATGATTATTTTACGTAATATTTGTTTTTACATCTAATTTATTTATTTATATTAAAATTTATTCAAAATATTGTTTATAAATTTTAAACATTATAAAATGAATAAAGTTTAATTTTTTGGACAATATAAATATTAAATAATTAAAGTATTTTATTATTTCACATGACAAAATCACAAAAGCATTTAAATGTACTTAATTTGAATCTGGTTTTGAAATAACATAAATTTATCCTATATATACTATTTTATACATATAAAATAGAATAAAAAATATGTACAAGTATATGGTTAATTAAATGTGTGTCTCATTCATAAGATAGTACACGCGTCTCATAAAATACTCTAGGAACACTTTAAAAGCAAGAACCTTTTGGACCCAAAAAACCCCATCAGTGGATGGAGACAAAAATGAGAGGAATCTAAAACACATGAAAGAATCTTTATCCCCTCTCTTCTGTTCTCTCAATCATGCATGGCACAGTCTGATATCTTTCTTTTTCCAGTTTTCACACACTAATTCACACAAACATTTGGTGGCAAGAACAGTGAAACACTACTCTTTCCAGCTGGGAACATATCTAACTGAAAACCCACTTTCCCAAAATTGAATCTTTACTCCAAAACTTGGTATCAACCAGTGAAACACTACTCTTTCCAGCTGGGAACATATGTAATTGAAAACCCACTTTCCCAAACTTGGATCTTTACTATTCCAAAACTTGCTATCAACGTGTTCCGACTAAGAATCCAGGTTTTGGAATTCTCGTCCTTCGAGATTTTGTCTTTAATGAGTATATTTAAATTATTTTTAACTTTGATAATTATGTGAGACTTATAAATATATAAAAGTAATTATAATGTATTATTATAAATTATATTATAAATAACACTTATGATGGTTATTATAAGTAAATTAATTAGTGTTTAAGAACATTTAACAATTTTTTACTGAAATAATGTAAATTATTTAACAGGTTTGTATCAATTTGATAAAAGATTTTTTTCCTGAATACTAGAGTAATATTTTTTTATTAAAAAATATTTTAGTTCAAAATAGTCACTCTCCCTTATAAGAGGAACACTAAGTTCTAGGTTTTCAACCTCCACATAAATTAACTCAACTTGAAATTAATTAATTCTGATTTTAACGTGTTTGTCTTGAAACTTGAACACATGATTTTATTATTCTCGTATTCAATGGAGTTGAAGAGAGGCGACAAAAAATAATCAGCTTCACAGAATGAAATACGATCTTTGCTTCTTGGATATAAATTATTTCTAACATAAACATCACATTAATAAGAATAATTAATTCAATTAATTTTAAAGTAATACATAAAATTTATTTTTATAATTAATCATTTAAAAAAGTTATTATTTATTAATGAAAACACACATTTTCATAATATTTAATAGAAGTAAAGATATTGCATGCTTTATTTTTAAAAAAATTATATCAGAAGAATTAATCATATAAATAATATTTTGAAAACAAAATTACTCAAATATAGTTCTTATCAATTAGATAAATACAAATATATTTTATATAATACATACAATAATTAGAAAAAAAATTATTTACTATAACAATAATAATAATAATAATAATTTGATTAATTTAAAATTATTTTATCATAATAAATAAATTACTTATTTAAATAAAAAATATTATATTACTTATTATAATTGAAATCTACTTATTTATTAGTATTTGTTAATTATACTATCACATAAATAATAAATCATATGCATAATATTATAAACATATAAAATATTATCAAAATAAATTAAATAGACTGATTTAAAAATATTAAAGATTAACTAATTATATAATTAAATTTAAATAATTTTATTTGTTTCGGTATAAATTTTTTTTCATAAAATTATAGATAAATGATAAAAATATATGTGCTGGATTTAAAAATATTAAATATATAAACGTTGAACGAAATATACATTAATTTTGTTATCATATAATTTACATAAAAATAATTACTTCTTTATATATTATTCTATTTTAACCAATAAATGTAACTCTCCACTAACATATTATAATTGTTAAAATCTGTACATATTTAAATAATAGTTTGAGTAATTTGTGCTCTTAATCATATTAATTATTTTTTTATTTTATTATCTTATTTATTCAATTTTTTCTTATAATTATTATTATTTTATTAAAGATGTCTAAAAAATTTATTAATAATTATTTAGGAAGAAAAATATAATGAATATTCAAAAATAAAATCAAGAGAATTTAAACAATACAATAAAAAAAGAAGTAAACCATATATCATAAAAAAAAATAGAAAACTTTATTCACTTGGATGGTTATTACAAAAATATAATAGGAGTGTGTTGTTACTTCTCTCATTCTAAATTTGTTTACTTGTCAACAATGGTAGTTTTCAATCAATTCCCCCACTCTCTTTCTTTGTTTGGTTTGCCATAAAATAAAATCCATTGCACTGAGTAGACCCTACAGGAAGGTGCCTGTAAATTGATATTTTGATTTCCTTGGTCAAGATGTTTGATGTATTTGCCAATACCCAACAACGGTGGGGTTGGATTTTCTCTTCTTTCTGCTCCTTCCACCATCATTTCACTTTACACCTTCATTCAACCATCTTTACAAACTCTTTCAATGCTTGCAAGGGTCAGAGTCAAACTTCACAAGTCCTATTGTTTTCTCATTTTCCCACCAATTTCTCACATGTTTCTTCTTATTTATCTTTTACTAAAGCGTGTATTTAGTTTAACCAAAGCTGGAATAAATTTGGGGAAATTTTTGCATTACACTAACGGAAATTTTTTATCAATTTCATCCACTTTCTATTCTCACACAATTCTTGTTTCTCTACCATGGAACCAAAACACAATTGTATGAATTTCACTGGTAAAGTTATAATCTTTATTAAATTTTAACTAATAAAGAATAATGTAAGAAGTTTATATTAAATAGTGTTATTTCTGTATAAATACATAATTTTTTTAATTATCCCCAGATTATTTTAAATTTTGTTATTTCTAACTTTGTTTAAATCAATTGATGTTTTAGAAATTAAAAATGTAAATATAATAATATTTTACATTGATTGATTATTATTTAACTTTAAATAGGCATTTAAAATCTATTAATATGAGAAGAAAACAATATGGATTTATAATATTTAATTGTCACTGTCAATTAAAATTTCAAAATATTTTGTTATTCGAAAACCAATGTAGAGAATTTTGAAAAAAAAAAAAAAAAAAGGCAAACATGTGAAACAAAAAAGTTTTATATAAGCTGACATATTATTGTTAAGATTCTTCTTCCCCAAACAGCCCCAACCTCCTCTTACAAAAGCAACCCCCAACCCTGGTTAACTTCAATTCATACTACAACCTCACTTCAAATCTCAAAAATTCACACCAAACAAATAAACAAACCTTAAAACAAAACACAAACACAGACCCAAACCAAATCTCACCTTCTCATCAAATGCTTTTCTTCTCTTCCTTCTGTTCCTGCTTCCGCGTTTCCCAACCCACCATCGTCCATGACGCCACGCCCTCCACCAACCTCACCACGTTCATCTACCACACGGAAAACGGCACCGTTTCGCTGACATGGTCACGCTCCATGCTGGGTCGCTCCCTCCACGTTCACCTCCACCACCACTCCTCCTTCCACCTCCACCTCAAGCCCTGGAACAAAACCGGTTCCAAGAAACTCTCCCACAACACCCTCTTCCTCTGGAACCTAACCAAAGCTAGGTTCGGCTCCGGACCCGAACCTCGCTCCCGATTCTACCTCGCCCTCATCGTCGACCAAACCAACCTCAGCCTCCTCGTCGGAGACCTCACCCCAAAAAACAAACCCCACACACCTAACACCGAAACGCAACAGGTTCTCCTTCTCAAACGGGACCATGTCCACGTAGCGCCACACCTTAGCAGGGTATACCAAACCAAGACCATACTCGGAGGTAAGGTTAGGGAAATCCAAATAGACTGCGACGGTTACAGTAATGGTAACGGTTACGAGGACGACAGTTTGAGGTTGTTGTTTGGTGTGGATGGGGAGAAGGTTCTGGAAGTGACCCGGTTGAAGTGGAAGTTCAGAGGGAGCGAGCGTGTGGAGGTGGATGGCGCGCACGTGCAGATCTCGTGGGACGTGCATGATTGGCTTTTCGAGAAGGATAAGGATCATGGTAATAGTAGTAATAATAATGATGGGAATGGTAATGATGGTGGTAAGAACGAGGGGCACGCGGTTTTCATGTTTAAGTTCGAGGAAGAAGAGGTAGGAGGTGGGAGTGGGAAGGAGGTGGATGTTGTGTGGTCGAGTGGGGAGTGGAAGAATGGGAAGAGTTGGTCGTCTTCTTCGTTGTCGATTTCTTCTTCTGCTGGATCCTTTGGAGGGAGTTCCTCTGTCATGGAATGGTCCAGTGTGGAGGAGAATGAGTTGGTGGTACCTCATGGCTTTTCTTTGGTGGTTTATGCTTGGAGAAAGTGAACACTCATTTGGGTGGGTGTGGTTTTTTTCTTCCCCTTGGTTGAAAAAAGTTGAGAAAGAAAAAAAAGAATGAAATTGGATATTATGAGAGTGTATAGAAGAATATATATATGTTGTGTAAATTCTAGCTTCTGAGTTTTTTGGAAAACTAAATATGATTATTTGAACTCGAGTATATGGACTACATGAGTCTCTCTGCATCAATAGGAAGTCTTCAACGAGCACATATTAGTCTTTGATTCTCAGGTTTCATCCGGGTATAAAGATTAATCTATGATATACTTTGAGATACTATGTGAAGCATATACATGACAAAATGTATCTATGCATGGAAGAACATCTGCTCAGAGAGATCACAGATAAGCTCTTGATTCTAGAGTTCGATCCTCAAGTTTGGAAAGATATATCTGTTGGAAGAGATAAACTCTTTATTTGAAAGTTTGATCCTCAGGTTTGAAGAATTCAGTGTTTTTACCAAATAAATTTCAGTATCGGATGAAGATTAGTGTCTGATTTTCCGTCCAAAGATGGAAGAAACTCCGAATATCCCAAGAAGTTCTTGACAAGCTAGAATGGAAAAAAAAAAAAAAAAAAAGATGTTCTGGTAACTCAAAAAAGTTTTTGACATGCTAAAATGGATCGTTGACAAGGGGAAGTGTTCTTGATTGCAATTGATTGCGGCTACTATATTTTCACACATTCAGTGAGTATAACTTGGCATCTTTAAGCAAAGATTAGAGTTGTTGGATGAAGGTTTGACAGTTTCAAATTTTGAATGTGTTTGAAGTTTGAGTACTAATGACTGACTAGTTAGAAGTTAGAAGTTGGAATTTAGGATATGGGTGTCTCTTTGAACAGTAAGACATTTGTTTGGTGGCTATATACATAAACGGAACGGGAATCTATCGGTGGATTTGTGTACTTGATGTAGATCTAACATATTTATTTAGACGAATTGCGTTTGCAATTATTTTTTTTTTTTAATAATTTTCTGTTCAGTTTGCTGTTGATGGAATTGCTGAAGGGAAATTATCGTAAATAATATTGTTATTATGAGGGTGTGTGATTGAACTTTATACTCGTGATGTGCACGCCAAACGTTCGACCAAATGACGGCATGTGAATCAGGACATTTTCTTTTCTATGGTGCTTTTGCATTTGGCAGCTCAGCAGCTTGTTGCCTAAAGCGACTGGTACTAACGGCCAATTTGGTTGACCCATTCCAACCAAGGATCAATAATATATTCAATCTAATGGTTAGTATTTGATTGACGGCACAGAAAAAAAAAATGGTGTACTTTTCCTAAAGGGTTAATATTTAGGTCTCTAAAGACTAACTAAATGTGAGAATTTTTTTCATAAATAATACTGTTTTTAAAAATATTTTCTACAATAATATCTCTGTAACTTTATTTACACAACTAGCACTGTTTACTGTTCACGTAATAAAATAATATTATTTCGCGCAACTGTTTACTGTTTACGTATTAAAATAATATTATTTCGCGTAATGAACTCTCGCTCAAGCGAAGAAATCCCTCGCTTGACCGAGGAAATCTGTAACAAAGGGGTAATCTCGGGTCAATTATCGCTCAAGCGAAGAAACCCTTCGCTTGAGCGAGGAAATCCGTAAGAACGCAATTATCTCCGGTCAACTCTCGCTCAAGCGACAGATATTTCGCTTGAGCGAGAAGTGATTAAAATATGTAGTGACCCAAGTTGTGTTATGTGGCTAACTGAGTTGGACGTTTAGCGAAATAATGCAACTTTGGTTTAGATAGCGGTTCTAGAACTAACCGCTATTAAAAATATATTTTAGATAGCGGTTAACGTGGAACCGCTATTATATGTTACTTCTAAGAGCGGTTAAAATATTAACCGCTCTTAAAAGTGAGACATATAGTTGGACCGTAGGCAACTATCGCTCAAGCGAGACACTCTTCGCTTGAGCGAATATATTTTTAATCGATTATAACGTGAAATAATCGATCATAATTTTAAAATAATCGACATATAATAGCGGTTCCATGTTAACCGCTATATAAAATATACTTTTAATAGCGGTCAATTCTACAACCGCTATCTAAAATCTCGGGTAAATTCTAGCTCAAGCGACTGTAATTTCGCTTGAGCGAGAAGTGATTGAAATATGTGGTGACCCAGGTTGCATTATGTGGCTAACTGCATTAGACGTTTAGCTATGGTCAATTCTTGCTCGAGCGAGAAGTTCATCGCTTGAGCGAGAAAACCTGCAGGTGACCCAGGTTGCATTATATGATGTTGCTGAAAGGGGAGTTTGTTCTGTTTATGAAATTATCTTGTTTCTGTATTGTTTTACCTGGAGCTGACTGTAATTGATTCATTGAAGGTGAATATGGGGATGATAGCATGTAAAGAGAATTTAAAATTTCTTGACTGATGGTTGGTTGGTTACTCAGGGTTAAAGTGCTTGAGGTTGTGGGGCTGTCAAACATCAATTCTGTGGAGTGGCTTAGAATGATCAAAGAAGTGTTTTTACAGTATTTTAATCGATACAAATTACTTTTAATCGAGTAAAACCCTTTAGAACCCATTATGACCGATCAGATTTGAAATATGAGCGATCAGAACTTATTTCAATCGATTAAAACACGTTTCAATCGATTAAAATCACTTAAAGAGTCAGAATGATCTATCAGAATGCAGTTATGACCGATCAGAGTTGGTTATGATCGATCAGAATTGAATTATGACCGATCAGATCTGTTTCAATCGATTAAAACGCATTACAATCGATTAAAATAACTTGGAAAAATTTTGTACAGAGTTTCAATCGATTAAAACGCGTTTCAACCGATTAAAACAACTTGGAAAAATTTTGTACAAAGTTTTAATCGATTAAAACTTCTATTTATCAGCTAAAATAACTTGGAAAGTTTTATAAGAAAGTTTTGCAGTATATCAATCGATTAAAACACGAAACAATCGATTGAATCAAACTTAGAAAAGTTTTGTAAAGTGTTTTAATTGATATAACCGTTGTAGTATCAGCTAAAACAAATCTGTTAAAGAATCAAGAACGTATTAATGGATTGAAAGTACTTTTAACAGATTGAAACGACTATTTCAACAGATTAAAACAAACTTTCAACAGATTAATTAATGCAGCAGTTTTGAAAATACTCTTTAAAATCAGTTTGCTTGAACTTTTTAAACATACATTGAATATCAGTTTTTACACATCCTTAAGCAATCATTCAAGCAAACCTTAACACTTTTTCAAGAAGGATTCACAACAATTTTTTGAAGTTCTTTTGAAATATATTTTTAATAGCGGTTAGTTCTATAACCGCTATCCTAAGTTTCGGGTCAACTCTCGCTCAAACGACGGGTATTTTCGCTTGAGCGAAAAGTGATTGAAATATGTGGTGACCCAAGTTGCATTATTTGGCTAAACGTCCAACGCAGTTAGTCACATAACGCAACTTGGGTCACCACATATTTTAATCACTTCTCGCTCAAGCGAAATAGTCGTCGCTTGAGCGAGAGTTGACCGGAGATAACCCTTTCTTACGGATTTCCTCGCTCAAGCGAAGGGTTTCTTCGCTTGAGCGATAATTGACCCGAGATTACCCCTTTGTTACAGATTTTCTCGCTCAAGCGAGGGGTGTCTTCGCTTAAGCGAGAGTTCATTGCGCGAAATAATATTATTTTAATACGTGAACAGTAAACAGTTGCGCGAAATAATATTATTTTATTACGTGAACAGTAAACAGTGCTAGTTGTGTAAATAAAGTTGCAAAGGAGTTATTTTGGAAAATATTTTTAAAAACAGTATTATTTATGAAAAAAAGTCCTAAAGGTGATGCTTTTACGGTTATTAACATTTATAAGACGGATTCATGCACTCCTACAATAAAAATTATAGATTCATTTTTATAATTTTTTTAAGTAATTTAATAATCTAAAATATTAATTCATTTAATCTTTAAATCGAAAAAAAAATATAGCGGGAGGAGAAGGAACTATAAAACTTTTATTATTTAAATAAGTCAGTCTCTTTTATATTTTTATAAGTGTTCATAGTTAAGTTGAATAAATTCGTGTGAAATTTAGTTGTTTCATCTTCTAATTTTGTTTTAATTTTTTTTTCTAAAATATTTTGGTTATAGATTGAAATTAAGAAAAAAAGGATAATAAATCAAAATAAGAACGTAGAAAGAAGGAAAAAAATTATTGGATCACATTTGCCTAAAATATTAGTAAGTTATCTTTTGAAGACCAATTTGTATGCATGCTAACATTGTAGGATGATTTATTTAGTACAAAATCTCTCATTTGATTTTGCCATATACGAAAAATATTTTAACTAATAGAAAAAATTAATACTGCGATCACAATAGTTAGCAAAAATAAATAATATAAATTGACCATTTGAAGTTGGTGTGAGTGGTTATTAGTTAGCCAAAAAAAAAAAGAGTAACACAAGTTGATAATTTAAAGTTGGTGAGTGATTAGTTAGGGTTCTTGGTCCTTAAGCAGTAAGTTGGGGTTGGATCTCTATTTTTGTGAATAGAATAAATTTATCATTCACCTTCTTCAAAAGATATTAGGTCTACCTTTTTGTGAGAAACATCTTACAGATTATAAAAAATGGTAATTTAAGATGTCTCTGTTGTGATACATGTTTGGTTTCATATGTTTGATGTAAGTTTAAGAAGCTAAACATTACAATTTAAAGGGAAGTGACCCAAGAGACAAGGTCAATGCAATTTGTACCATATATACTTGCCCTAATAAGGACCACATCATTTTGCTTCTAATCAATCATTCAATTCCCACTTTTCTTGTGAACATAAAAATAAAAAATGAAAAATAGATAGTATAAAAATTAAGAAAAAAGAAAAGTAAAGAAATGGCTACTTTTGTTCACCCTTATTTTATTTTTTTTATTAACTCAATGAAATGAGAAATTTATATTAAATATAGTTTTTTTTTATACCTAGCATATATAAGAGTAA